GAAGCCAGTATATCAATGAGGCAGTTCTCCTCCGTGCCTGCGCCCTAGGAAGACAGCAAGAGGAGTGTCATGGCATCTGGGCTGGGGGTGACGGTGCCCCCAGCAGTGAAGGGGTACCGCACCCCTGGTGTTCTGAGAGAAGGCGGAGGAAAAGGTATTAACACAAATATTCATCTATAAATATTTCTAAATAATGTGGGAAAAGATGTTTAAACAATGCTCATGACACTGACTTACTGATTTTTTTCCTGCCAGGATATCAGTTCTTGGAAAAGCTGGAATTTGATTTTGGGTCTCCTGATTTCCCAGGGATGGTTCAGAGACCTCTCCCTGCCTCTCCCCAGCTGTGGAATTTCATACCATTTGCCTACATATTTGGACCGGGAAGTTTCTACGGTTCTTCCTGCCATAGGCACATACTCTTCTCTGATAGTGATTTTAAAAACAATAGAGCTTTTTCAGAAAGCTTCAGAAATCCTTACCATTCGATGAGACACTGGTAAAATTAAAGTTTCATCTAAACAGTAACATGACTTTCTTCTTCTAGTTTTTAGTCACATAATTTTACAAGATGTAGGGATTGACGTATGCAACTTAAAAAAATGATGAGTTGACATTCATTTGACTTGTATACAATGCCAACTCTGATCCACAACTGTGATGGCCAGAATCCAGGTTCCCTAAATTTTTTGCCTTTCCCTTTTCTTGTCACACGTTGTTCACAGACTGGTAATCTGGTCATTGGCAGACAACGCAGTGGAACGATTTCAACAGCTCTGCAGGTGTTTAATGTCAGCGTTTGGAAAGATGGAAAAAGCCTCTTGTCCCTCAGCCCTCGCCAACAAATCTCTAACAAATCTGCAGTCCATTTATTTCATGGAAATGAATTTCTGGTAAGAAAGAATTATTCTAATCCTTCAGAAGTAAAATTTTGTTACCTTTGAGCAGTAGTTTTTGTAAAGGGTGCCATCTTAGGGTGGCAGAGATAAACAGAGATGTCACCTGTGTACTTTGTCTCTGACTCTATTACCAGCTCAGTCCTTAATGAGCCCAGTGTGTGTGCAATGATGTGAAGAGATTCACATGACTGACAACATTTCTCCCCTTGTGTATGAAGCCCTCCTGGGGAGACAGATCTGCATAAATAATAATAAATAAGGAAGCTTACCTGCTCTTTCCTTCTGGGAGCCCAGAGTGGGTCTGAGTTTGTGCAGCAGGAGAACCAGCAGTTCCCACCCTGGACCCTGGAGGCCCCTTTCCTGACAACCACCCTCACCCCCAGCATTTTCTTCATTTCTTCTTTGCTCAGATCTCCCCTCCCCTCCGTGATCACAGGTAGCACCATCACAGGGCAGGTCCCACTCTACTGAGACATCGGCCTGCACCTGTTGCAGGTGTATTTTTGCATCCAACCTCTACCTTCATGGCGTGCCAGAGCTCGTGGGCATCATAGGACGGTGGGGGGTACATGAGGCCGACCATGACGTCCTTGAAGTGACCTGAAAGCTTCTCCTTCAGGTCACCAAGCAGATCCTGTGGAGAGAAAAACAAATACTTTCATTACATCACTTACCAATTTTGCAAGAGAAATGGGCTAATTGCACAAAGTTTTCTGGTAGGATTTCCTTTTCTGTGTCATTTTGCACAGCAGCAAGTCTGGTTTTGTTCACACATGTACACGTGGATCACACAAGAGAATGGATGTGAGATTTGCTCACATCTCTGCATGAGACGTCATCTGTATGGACTCTAGTCATACAGACATAGAACTAATTTCCACAATCCCAGCCCAGGCCCTCTTCTGCTCTCATTGTGAAAATAAATAAAAGTTAAACCCTGAAAGCATTTGAGTTGGGAATTCTTAGTTTCCTTGTGTGGAATTAATGAAGCATTAGTCCTCAAAGAAAATATGCATCTTATTTTATTTTATCATTGT